CACATTTTGGACAAAGAGACTTGATTTAAGCTATTTGATGCAATGTGTATGAAGCCTGAAAGGAGTTTTAAACTCACGGACTCTTTCCTCCCTTGGCGTGCTGTGTACTAATTTGTTCATAGCTACTTTGGGGTAAACCATAGTAAGATTTGTGCTTGCCTGGAAAACCAGATTTGGAAACTGTGGGTTGTTCCTGGCTTGCAAGGCAGGCACAAGCCATTGTTTGCTGGTTTGAATGTAATGGCTAACTGCAGTTTACCCCAAACCAGGAAGTAACTAATTAGTTTGCCATGTGCGAGGGGTAGGGTTCCCAAGTATTACCTTTTGCTGGAGCGGGGGACTCCCGGCTCTTTCCTGGAGTGCGTGCACGCAAAGCGCGCGCTCACCACAACCACATCACCCGGAAGTGACGTGATCACGCTGGGCACACTGGGGGCAAGGGCACGACCATCCAAGGGAAAACCATAGAGTTTTCCCTTGGATGACCGTGGCCCCGCCCCCAGTGTGCCTGGTGTGGTCGCATCACTTCTGGGTGATGTGCTCATCACGTACTTTGGGGGTGGGTTTCCCCCTGGGGCCCAATCTGCCGGCGGCGGGGAACGGGCCTCTGGGGCGGGGTTTTCCCCGCCCCCCGGGGGGACTTGGCAAGCCTAGCGAGGGGAAGGGGGAGATGGGAGCATGCATGCATGCATGCATGCATGCTTGAGGCTCCTTGTAGGCGCCATGGATCGCCAGACCATGGTTTGGTGTTAGGTCTGCACCAGGCTTCTATAGTTGGCAATAACAGAAGTCTGTTATTACTATTTGAATATTATCCATTATCAATTTAGGAACCAACACTGAGAGAAAAGGTATATCTACCCTGTTGTAGTACAGTTTAGGTCACGGGTCCCCAGTGCAGTGCCCGTGGGCGCCATGGTACCGGATGCAAAATTGACTGGTAGTTGTTATATGGTATGAACTGTATGTTATTGTTATACTGAGTGTACTGAATCTATATACCTGATTAGAATGTTACAAGGGGTGGATCCGCGATACTCTGGGGGGGGGAGACAGGGGAGGAAGCAGCAGGAGGAGGTAAGTACCCCCCAT